AGGTGAACTGGGACCAGTTGAAGGCGACTAATCCCTGTTCACCTGGAATTAAAACCAGTTCCCTTCTGACTGGGACCAGTTGACCTGGAATTGAAACCAGTTGCTTTCTAACTGGAACCAGTTGTCCTGGAATTAAAACCAGTTGCCTTCCAACTGGGACCAGTTGACTTCTAACTGGAACCAGTTGACCTGGAATTGGAACCAGTTACTTTCCCAACTGGGACCAGTTGAAACCAGTTTGGACCATTTCGAACCAGTTAGATTCCCAACTTGGTACAGTTACAAATTTTCACCTGGGACCATACATGTCACTTGGCAATTTCTGTGAGTTTTTCAGGCAGCTTGTCAGCGTTTACAATTGCATCCACTTGTTGAGCCATTAATGCCTGTGCAACAATTTGTAGTGGCGCTCCTTTAGCTGCTGTTACAAGGTTGAGGATGCTCCCATTGCCAAACTCTGAGACAAAGGCTGAATGTGCCCTCAGAGGGCCCATCTGTTGTGCCGCCTTTCCAAGGTGAAGCAGTTGGCGAATGTTAAATGCATAAAGGATTCACCATACAGGCTTGTGCCACTAGCCACACACTGTTGCAGAAGGTACTCTGAAGCATAAGAAGACAAATGAACAAAATGTACAGACAAAAATGAACTAGAGAACGTTACTTATTGTAATTAACACCCTAAGACACCGAAACAAAAAAACAAAATGAGCATAACAACATATAACGGCAGGGCTTCTTGCATGTGTGCTGTCCTGTATGTTTTGTCTTTAATCCCAGCACTTTGCCAACAAGGTAGAGGGGCTTAGAGCGATACACACAGGTAAAAGTGACCCCCACCCGGTCGCTTGTATCCATTTGCCTAGACGCCCAGGGGGGCAAGGAAAGAAAAAGAGGGAGAGGAGGAAAGGGAGGAGGGAAGAATACCGCGATTGGCTGACGCAGTTATGTGGCACGCCTGCGCTATGGGCTCTTCTAAGCTGCGTGCAGCCCCCATCCCCCCGCTACCACCATTGAGCAGACGCTACGCGTTTTAGAATACTACGTGCCCGTCGAAGAAGTGTTGTGGTGCAGTGCTAGATATTGGAAGATATCGTTGGTGTGAAAGTACATATCATACGCTCACAGGTCTCAATGCTGACTGGGCAGCTATGCTACGGCCGCTTTATGCTTTATGCTGTAGCGTTCACGTATGCCAGGATGGAAGGCTGTGTTTAGGCCTAAGGACCTGCGACCGCAGCCAGCATTCCGAAGTTATTTACGGCCTGGAAATAAACCCAGCTCGTTTGCCTTTCACTAAACCGCCCAGTGTAGGTACTCGTTTTCACATCCGCCCAACGCCGCCGCGGTGTTGTGTATTCTGCCCTAACGCAATGCCTAACTCGCTGCTCGGCAGCATTATTCACGGGCGTAACATTGTTCGTTTGTTGCCGGCCTCAACAGGAATTGCGCCAGTATGTGAGATGCCAACCCAGGTAAAATTTTTGCAAGTGGGACCACTTGAAGTGGTTTATCGAACAGGGACCACTTGGCAAGTGGGAGGCTAGTGGGACCACTTGAAGTGGGACCGCTTGAAGTGGGACCGCCTGAAGTGGGACCGCCTGAAGTGGGACCGCCTGAAGTGGGACCTCTTGAAGTGGGACCGCTTGGCGAGCGGAATCGCTTGGCAAGTGGGACCGCTTCTGGATTTTCAGTGAGTTCAGAGTCGGGGTTTGGAATCTGTTTTATTAAAGCCTTTAAATCATACATAAAAATAATGTCATAACATCCGTCACTCATGTATAATACGAAAAAAAAATTACATGAACATATGCAGGTACTGAGAATTAACAGGCCGGGATGGTGGCTAGGGAGGGGGGCATAGCACACATTGTTAAAAATTTTCATATTGTGTTGAGGTTAGCAGCTTGGTAATGCCTTGAAGCTAACTTGACACTTGCTGACTGAACATTATATTTGCTCAAAAACATAGAATTACCCAAAGTGTGAGTAATAGCTCCAGAAGCCGCAAACTCGGCCACAGGCTCCAAGTGGACCTCTCGTATTGCAGCAAACTGCGAAACATGTTAATTAAGAAAAATGCAAAAGAAACACCAGGCATGAGCAGAAATGAAACAGGCTACTTGACCAGCAAACAAAAACAAAAAAATATTCCCAGTGATAAATTGCCACAAATAAACACACTGCAACTTCTTCACACAAAATTAAAACAATAGACGTTTTTCAGTCACATGGGTTCTATATCTGGCATGGGGGACACAAAATAATGGGACACCTCAACCTAGAGCATGCGAGGAAATATAGGTTAGGCAAAACAAAAATGTGTGAAAATCACAGATTTTTCGTGAACACCTTCCAGCGACGTGGAGAGATATCAACAGTGCTTTAATGCATACCGGAAGTGTCAACATTCAAGGCTGCACCCTTGTGGAAAGAGGCACATACAATGATAGTGAAACCAACAAATATACACATAGTCCTACTCAAACAAGAAAAAACCAGCAGACGAAACAGCAACAATGACTGGGATAGAATATTGTTAAATTTTATGAGTTCTACATTGGCATCTCATAATTGCAAACTTATGTGACAGGGGCATCATACAATGTAAAAGGTGTGCAAGTGGCATGATAATGGAAAATGAAAGCTAGTAACTAAAATATAGTAGATACCTTTTTAAACATTCTAATCATTTGGCTGTCACAGTGAGGCACCTGCAATCCTATGAAAGAAAATCTGTCAAACCTTGAATTCCTTAAAACAAATAGCACTATAAGTTTTGATTCCATAAAATTAAAACTTTTAAAAGTGTATTCACGACTCCAGCGAAACCATAGGGGGCACGTTGGTCAGGCAAAATGGCAAACGAAAGGAAGTCGTTTTCGTCGTTCAACACGTGAACCACCACTGCAGCGTAAAATGTGTGTTATGAAAGCAAAGTGCTTCTTGGATGGTAAAAACCTTCTAGTCGGTGCGTAGAAATGACACGGCGGAAGCATAAAAATAATTACTGGAAACAATGTTAGTTTCTATGCTGGCTACGAGAACCAAGCAGTGATAGCAGACGACAGTCTAAACGACCTCCTTTCTTGAGCTTCTCAATGTTGCCACTACGCGGCAGCGATTTCACTGGAGTCGCCAATAGTCCATATACTGCCATTAAAAAATGGGGTAAATAAAAAAAAATCTGACATATACAAAGGTGGTTACATTACATATTTTGCCGCTTCAGGCTTTTGCGCACATCTTGTATCTTTTGGGAGAGGATGGTAGAAATGTTATCGATGGCGTCTGCAACTGGGACCCCAGCCCTCGTGCCCCAGTGTGTTACTGTCTCTGTAAAGTAGCAACAAGCAAATTCAGTCGGGCGCAAGTAATGCACCCATAAAATAGAACATGACTTCACTTACCAATCACAAGAGCGACTTTCTCAGGGGTCATCTCTTTCCGCAAGATGGCGTCGGGCTTGTGGTAGTCTTTTGGGGCTAATTTGCCCCCATAAGTGCGGTCTGCCAGCCCCTGACGTGCCCAAAGTGCCTGAGCTATCTATGTCCTTAGCCACGAGTGCTGGCTTCCGTTGGCCCAAGGCTTTTTTTGCCTGGTGGGCTTCGATAGTGATGCCACTTTTCAGATGGAACTGTGAATAGAAGCAGTATAGACATAAATTAGGGGCAACCTCAGGGAAATGCTATTTATATGCTTACCCTGCCACCGCCTACATCTGAAGGGTGCATGGCCTGCAGCTCGCGGGTCAGCCACTGAGGAGAGGTGAAGGTTCCACAAGTATGTTTTACCAAAATCTTGTTAACTTCTCCATTAATTTTAGGGGACACTAGTGTCTCACTGATGCAGATATTATACCTATTGCTGGTGGTGAGGCCAGGACTGCACTCCTGGGCTGGTTGGTCAGTGATAGATGACATCTTGGAGGGGTCCTCGGGTCCTCGGAGGGGTCCTCGGGGAGGTCCTCGGGGGGGTCCTCGGGGGGGTCCTCGGGGGGGTCCTCGGAGGGGTCCTCGGAGGGGTCCTCGGAGGGTTCCTCGGAGGACTTCTTGGGGGCAGAGCCATCTGACTAACGGCAGGGGCCCTTGGGGGGTTGCTAGGAGGCACCGTTCTCCGTGCACTTGGCCCTGCCGTCGGTTGAAGTGATGTGCAAACTGAAACAGATACATACTCCTTCGAGTCCCTGAAGAGAACAGTACAGCACAGATACCAGGTTATAGATAGACCACTGCAAAATATTGGTTACACGGTGTACACAAATATTCCTGAAAATTGAACTGTGACTGCCCTGAGCATTAAATTACATGGAGTAACTTTCAGTATAAGGTCGCTATCTCCTTACCTTGATGAACTGCCTGTGTTCCTGGCAGCAGAACAGGCCCCCTGGACTCCAGCATCTCCTTAACTAAAACAAATGAATAACCACCCCTTAGTTTGAACTCCCTGGTAGAAACCTCTATAAGAAATTCAACCCAGAGTTAAAAGTGAAGTCACCAAATTATCAATCCGCCAATACCTTAAGCAGCAGTATTATGATGCAACTTTCTATTTGACAAAGAAGATGAAAATGTGCACAATCCGTGGTATCAAGAAATGAATTACCTAAAACATTTTCTATCCAAGGCACACCAGTCCCCAAGACTATGCTCGTAAGAATCACAGGCACTATTATGAACATCAGATCACCATATTTGTACTTACGCGTTGCCAACTGGCCATTTATAGTTCCACTCATGGTTTCAACGATATTAGTAAGTTGCGCCTTCTCTCTGTTAACTTCTTCGTAGCGGCAGCGCCAGTACCGTGCCTCTGTTCGTGCGCGCTTTAACTCAGAGGCAGAGACAATGTAATCATCGGTGTCGCTGTCCGATTCTGGGGCAGGACGTGGTCTTTTTTTGGAGACCTGCGCGAGAACATGTTTGGTAGATTGCAGGTAAACAAATGTTGAAAGCATGTATGATATGCATATTGCGGCACATACCTGTACAGCAGAGGCAGCTTCATTTTTCTTGGCATTTTCGAGCTGCTCTTCTAATATCCTCTGGTAAGCAGAACTCTGACGCCAACTGGAGAGCCTTCGGTCTTTTTTTGTCATGTGAAGTCTGGCGGGAGTCCTGAAACATGAAGCATAGAAGTTGCTCACAGAAGTATGAGAAGTTGTTTAAATAAAAATGAATATTAAAGTACATTCCCCTTTTTGTCATAACCAATTCATATATTGGTCAATGTCGTCCCATATCAACTACGGAAGAGTAATTCAACAAGACCAATTTAAACGCAATGTTTTTCATAATTCACTTTTCCCTCGGGCAATTCAAAGATTTACATTCCTTTTTCTTCAGGCAATTCAAGACTGAAATTCTCTTCGTAATTAGAGTCATGCTTTGTTCAATGGATAGTCTTATTCATGCATTAACAATACATTTTCTTAAAAATTGCCTTTATAAGTTGTTCATCTATTTTATTTTCTATATTTTAACACAGGTTCATTTCATCTATTTTATTTTCTATATTTTAGCACAGGTCCATTCCCATGATGGCTCTCAGGGAAGAGCCACAGAGTTGCTCAAATAAACAAACTAATAAGTGTCATAACTGAGCATAACATACCAGCTTCGACGATTGCTTCTGAGAAGCGGGAGCATCATGCTCGCTTCCCTCCCCCTGCTCCAAATCCGAAGGGTGAATAATAGCCTTGCGCACCCTTTTCAATGCCCTTTTGGCTTCCAGCTCTTCCTTGGAACCTGTAATTTAATAATAATTAGTTTAGCAGTACTGTCACCATTTCTTAGTATAGTACCTAGAAAGTGCAGGCAACAGAGTTTAGTACTTTCTATGCCAAAGCTCTATGTTGTGATTCGGAGAGCCCAATAAATAAAAAAAAGAAAGGAAAAGAAGCAGCGCCGAGGCGGCCTGCTGAAAGATGTCTCACATGCCGAGGTGGGGCGGCGAGCACCGGCGGGTCCGAGGCGGGAACGACCCGGAAGGAAGGGACGTCTACATCGGCCGAGGTCAGAACACGTACTCGTTTATTTAGAGGGAAACAACCCGGGGGCCAACCGCCCCGGGGGAGATCCACCTGGGTGCACGGCCCAATGGATGAAGTGTAGCGCCGCCTGGCTACAGCGATATGCAGCGACAGTTCGTGGCGCCACCTGGTTAGTGTGGCGAGCGAAACTAAATGAAAAAAATTGAACTACTACACTTTCCTTTCCTTAAAAAAAAATAAACACCTATCCTTCCCTCTCTTAGGAAAAGAAAATACACTGTCTCATAAGGCTAAAACCTTAAGGCAGGATAAAATAAAAATTGAGCAAAAGACACTGGGCAAGTAAAACCTAATAAAAAAAATAGGCAAGTAGCCAGTTACACTTCTTACTGCACGTGGCAGAGAAGACGAAGACTTCACGTTCAAATGTTCATGGGCATGTAGCATTGAAAATAGTTAAGGTTTCCTAAAATGTCCGTTGTCACTACACACACAAAAAGAAAAATTATTCACTGGGGTTGACTAGAAGAATGTTCAATAGTTGATGTGTGCACTAAACTCATATGTCTTGGATCTCTCCGAGACTTGAACTGCTGTCGTAAAGGTTCTCAAAGTAGTCTTTGAGACGTTCGGGCAGCCGCCGGGCTCGATGTGGGCGACTGTCCTGACGGGGGGTGGAGGTGTCGGGACCTCGACCCTGGGTCTCTGGAGGATCCGACCGGAAGGTCGGCTGGCCGCCTGATGCCGACGGCACTCTCAGGGGACGGCGCTGGTACCGGTTCTGGGGCACCGTCAAAGGAGGTGTCGGAAACTGCACCACCCTCAGTAGCCGTTTCTGTACGACTGGGCGACCAACTGGCAGCTGACCAGCTGCTATCTGGGGACATCCCAGGAGACTGGTAGTGCTCAGGGGGCTGAGCAATCTCCTCAGGCACCGGTTGCACCTCAGCAGGACCCTCGGGAACGGGAGGGAGACTCCTAGCTGGAACAGGACCCTCAGGAGGGGAAGGGGGGGCCTCAGGACTCAGGCCAGGGTCAGGACGTTGACCCGCAGGATCTGGATTGGTGGTGTCCGGGCTAGCCGGACCAAGGACAGGAACAGGCGGCTCTGGGGGAGCCGGCGGGACTGTGGGCAGAACAACTGCAGGGAAAAAAGGGGGGTCCGGGGGGTACAAATCTTCCCGGAACCAAGATGCTCTGGTTGATGAAGGTTGAAGAGTTGTATGCGTCAACTTGGACGCATGCCACGTGGATCCATCGTCCAGCCGGTATGTAGCTGGACCCACTTGATCTTGGATCTTCTGAGGAGAAGCATACTTCATCTGTAACTTTCCTCGGTGACGAGGCTTGTTGACCTTGACGGTCTGTCCAGGAATGAATGTAGGCCGCTTGACAGCACGCCTTCTGTCTGAGTACATCTTCATGCGTTCTTGATATTTCTTGATTGTTTGTGGAAGTCTTTGTTGGACTGTGGACCTTGGAACTTGAGGGTCGGGGACTGGACGCCCCGAAAGATGAAGACGATTGCGATGGTTCCTGCCATGAAGCAGGAACGCGGGAGTTTCTCCCGTTGCAGCATGGCGAGTGGCACGGTACACTCCTAAGTACTCCGTGACTGCTTCTCTGAGGTTGCGTTGCTGGACGACAGCCAACTGTATGGTGGACTTCAAGACACGGTTGAAACGTTCCACCTGCCCATTCGCTTGGGAGTGGTACAGGGATGACCTGAGATGACGAATACCTTGATTCTTGAGGAACTCTGTAAATTCCCTGGAGATGAACTGGGGGCCGTTGTCGGTGACGATTTCTTCCGGCAACCCCTCTCGTGCAAAGACAAGCTTCAGGAAGTCTACCACAGACGCAGTCGTGACATTGTGGACGCTCATGACCTCTGGCCATTTGCTGTGGTAGTCCACAAGGGTGATGAAAAAACGTTCGTTGCGCGGAGCGCGTTCGAACGGACCAACGATGTCCATACCTAACTTCGTCCAAGGACGAGATGGAAAATCGACTGTCTGTAAAGGTGCTCGGAATGTCTTTGCTGGTTTGTCCGTAGACTGACATATGGTGCAATGTTGGACGTATTGTTTGATATGGAGAGCTACTTGAGGCCACCAGTAGAGTTCTTTGATAAGTCCTGTGGTCCTCGTGATCCCTTGATGCGTCTCATGCGCTATCTCGATGACTTGGTCGCATAGACTGGTCGGCACGATGATCTTCTCGGCGTTAAACAGCAGTCTGTCCACCTGCGACAGCTGTTCTCGGACTGCGAAGTAGGGCTTGAACCCTGGAGGCAGCTTGTCTTCAGCTGGCCATGTTGACGAGATGTATTCCATGACTTTCGGTAGAATGGGATCACGGGCTGTTGCATCTTGAAAGTCGCGCTGAGTCAGTGAAGCGCAGACTATGGAAACCACTTCCTCAGGAAACTTGGTGCCGTCTTCTGTGTCCTTGACGGGCAGACGGGACAGTGCATCTGCGACGGTGTTGTCGGTACCCTTGCGGTACTCCATCAGGAAGTTGTAGTTGAACAACCGGGCCGTCCAACGGCTGATGCGTAGCGGTCGGACTCCGGTGCCCTGCGTAGACATGAGGGTGACGAGTGCTCGATGATCAGTGCGGATGGTGAACTGCCTTCCCCAGAGGTAAGTATGCCACTTCTCGCACGACCACAGGATCGCCAGGGCCTCCTTCTCTCCCACGGAGTACCGTCGCTCCGTGTCCGTCAAGGAACGGCTTGCAAAGGCCACGGTCTTGAGCTTCTGCCCGTGCTGTTGTTGCAGAACTGCTTCGAGGCCGTAGTTCGAAGCATCAGTTGATACGATGACCGGCAAAGTCGGGTCAAACATTGTTAAGATGGGTGCTTTCTGGAGAGCTGTCTTGACTTCTTGGAAGGCGCTCTCGACATCAGGAGTCCAAGAAAAAGAGTTGCCCTTGCGCAACAAACGACGCATCGGTTCGACTACTGTCGCACAATGTGGAATGAATTTGCTATAATATTCCACTAGACCGAGGAATGCCTTGAGTTGTGTTGGATCGGATGGTGAGGGGAAGTTCAGAACGGCTTCTATCTTGGACGGAAGGGGCGCTACGCCTTCCGCGGATAGACTATGGCCGAGAAAAGACAAGGTTGGAACGCGGAAAACCGCCTTTCTGTTCAGTTTCATGCCAGCGGACTTGATCCGTCGGAGGACTTCGCGCAAGTGCGCGTCGTGTTCTTGAGGTGATGATCCGTAAACGATCACGTCGTCTAAGTAGAACTGTGTGGAATCACCACCCTGGAACCCCACAGCAGGCAGCCTTGCTCCAAGCTCAGCTCGGCGGTCTTGTGGCTGTATGCCTGGTGACGCAGCTCCTCCCCTCGGGAAACCGCCTTGACCACCTGAGACAGGACCGGGTCCCGGCGGGTCGCCTGCGCCACCGCAGTCCTGGTAAGCACCCCCGGGTAGGCCCGCTCCAGCAGGAAAACGTCAGCTGGCTCTGGAACGGCAGCAGGCACCTCCGGCAGGGGCAGGCGGCTCAGAGCGTCGGCAGGTCCCAGGTCCTTCCCAGGGCGGTAGACCAGCTTGTACCTGTAGGCTGCCAGCGTCAAGGCCCAGCGTACCACACGAGGCGAGGCTTGCACTGGGACCGCCTTGTCAGGTCCCAGCAGCCCCAGCAGCGGCTTGTGGTCCGTGACTGCCTCGAACTGCCGGCCCCACAGGTACTGATGGAAGCGCTGGACCCCGAAGATGAGGGCCAAGCCTTCCCTGTCGAGCTGGCTGTAGCGTTGCTCCGCCGCATGAAGTCGACGAGAAGCAAACGCCACAGGGCGTTCCTGACCATCCTGACCCCGGTGCGACAGGACGGCTCCTACCCCGTACGGCGACGCATCCACGGTGAGGACTACTGGCTTGGCCGGGTCGAAGTGCACCAGCACTGGAGCCTTAACGACCAGCTCCTTGCTGCGCTGGAAGGCCAAGTCCTGCTCCTTCTTCCAGGCCCACTGCTGCCCATCGCGAAGCAGGCGATGCAGCGGCTCTAGATGCGTCGAAAGGTTGGGCAGGAACCTCCTGTAGAAGTTGATGAGGCCGAAATAGCTCTGAAGCTCCTTCTTGCTCTTGGGCTTCGGCGCTTTGAGCACGGCCTCAATCTTGCGGGGAGCCGGGGCCAGGCCAGCCTGGGAGATGATGTGTCCCAGGTACTCCACGCTGGGGGTCAGGAACACGCATTTGTCCAGCCTCAGCTTGAGACCGGCGTCCTGCAGTCGTGTCAGGACTTTGCGCAGGTTCTGCAGGTGGTCCCCGTCGTCGGTACCGGTAACCAGGATGTCGTCCAAGTACACCGCCACGTGCCTCATGCCCCTGCAGAGGTTGTCCATCTCTCTCTGGAAGATGGCTGGGGCTGAGGCCACGCTGAACGGTAGGCGCGTGTACTGGAAGAGTCCCATGGTAGTCGAAATGGTGACATACTTCCGGGCGGCATCCTGGAGCACCAGCTGCTGGTAGGCATCTCGAAGGTCGAGCTTGGTGAACTTCTGTCCCCCGGACAGAGCCGACCAGAGATCTTCTACCCGAGGCAGCGGGTACTTTTCGACGGTAGCGACGGGGTTGATGGTGACCTTGAAGTCCCCGCAGATCCTGACGCGGCCGTCTCGCTTGAGGACTGGGGCAATTGGTGCAGCCCACTCGGAAGTCTTGACGGGCACCAGGATACCCTCTCGCTGCAGCCGTTGCAGCTCCTGGGTGACCCCGTCCTTCAGGGCGAACGGCAGCG